TTTTACAGATGAAGAAACCGAGGCCGAGAGATTTGAAAGTCACAAAGGTAATAAAACACAGAGCTGGGATTCAAATGCAGGTCCTCAGACTCTTAAGCTCAGCATTTTTTCTAATATACTATGAGCTCTTTCTCAGACATTTTTAACAAAAGGAAACAATTCATTTGTTTGATAACATGTATCTTTTTCCTTCTCCATGCAAAAGGATTTTGCTAGGTGTTCTCTAATCAGAACATGGTTTAAAAGGTGATTTGAAGTTTTCTAGCAGTCAGGTTCCTTTGGTGGGTAAAGAGCACCTGGCTTAAAGTCAGAAGAAATGGGTTGGAGTTCTACATTTTACCAGTTATATAACTTTGAGAAAGTCACATCCTTTTAAATCATTTTCATGTCTGTAAATTGGCAACAACTGCACAACAGGCCTTAACTAGAGTTGTAAGGAAGTGCTTTGTAAACCTTAAAATGTTATAAACATGCAAGTTATTCTTATTTAAATTCCCCTTCTAGTTGGGGGGCAGCTAGGTGGCGCAGTGGATAGAGCACCAGCCTTGGATTCAGGAGGACCTGAGTTCAAATCTGGCCTCAGACACATAACACTTACCTGCTGTGTGACCCTGGGCAAGTCACTTAACCCTAGTTGCCTCACAAAAACCAAAAAAAAAAAAAAAAAGAATTCCCCTTGCAGCTTTTCAGGGAAAGGGCAGAGGATGGGATTTCAAATCAAAGGGCCTAGATTCAAACTTCAGTTCTGCTACTTATTATTGTGTGAGACTTAGGAAAGTCACACAAACTTTGGAAAATACTCCAGACTAGGAGTCATTCAATAAACATTTGCTGTTTTTTTTAACTGATCAGTCATATGCAATTCTTCATGACCCCATTTGGGGTTTTCCTAGCAAAGATACCGGAGTGATTTGTCATTTCCATCTCCAAATTATTTATTAAGTGCTTACTATGTGCTGGGCACTGTGCTAGGAACTAGGGATACAAGGACAAAAAACCCCTAATTCCCACTCTAAATGAGCCTATATTTGATGAAAGAGAGACAATATGTATGTAATTAAGTATACGTATAATAAATCCATACAAAATAAATAGTAGTTAGGAATAAATAAATAGTAGTAGTTAGGAAAGGAAAGCATTTACAATTGTGAGGATCAGGAAAAGCTTTGTGTAGAACAAGGATTCCCAGCTTTTTTCAGTTTCTGTATTCCTTGGTTCCTTTAAAAAACCTTTCTGTTACTCTTTATTCAATAGGGAAAGTAAATAAATTCTAGAATTTATTATGCACTTAAGGAATAAAGAGATGAAATAATTTCAATAGGATAATATAACTGTTCACTAATTAAGTTTAAAACTTATTTTAAGTTTAAAACTCCTTGAACAAGCTTCTCATATCCCATTGGAAAACCTGTACTCCAGGCCGGAAGTCTGTGGTATAGAAGCTGGTTCTTGGACTGTCCTGAAGATAGTGAGGGACTCAGTGAGGCGGAGGCAAAGAGAGAGTAAGGGACAGCCAGTGCAAAGACTTTGTGTAAGGAAGAGAAAAGGCCGATTTGGCTTTTGACCATAGAGTACAGGAAGGGGAGTAAATTATAACAAAACTAGAAAAATAAGTTGGACTAGGTTGTAAAGGGCTTTAAGAGCCAAACAGAGGATTTGATATTTGATCCTGAAAGCAGTAGGGAGCCAATGGAGTTTAGTGAGTACAGGAGTGACATGATTAGATCTCCACTGAAGGAAAATCACTTTGACAGCTGTGTGGTGGAGCCGTATAGATCAGTGGGGAGACATGAGGCAGGGAAACCACTGCAGGAGGCCACTGCAATAGTCCAGTTGAAGAATAAGGGCCTGAATTAAAGTCTGAGGGGAGAGCAGGGATGAATATGAGATTTTGTAAAGAAAGAAGCAGTAAGATTTGGCAGTTGATTGGACATGTGGGGTGAAAGAGATTGAGAAGGTGGAAATAACACTAAGATTGTAAACCTAGTAACTAAATGGATGTCTTCAATAGAGATGTTGTTCAGTCATTTTTCAGCCATGTCCAACTCTTCTTGACCCCATTTAGGGTTTTCCTGGTAAAGATAATGGAGTAGTTTGCCATTTCCTTCTCCAATTCATTTTACAGATGAAGAAACTGAGGCAAACAGGGTTAAGTGACTTGCCCAGGCTCACACAGCCAGTAAGAGTCTGAGGCCCAGATTTGAACTCAGGAAGATGAGTCTTCCTGACTCCAGGCCTGCTGTTCTATCTACTATGCCACCTGGTTTGATAGAAATAGGGGACTTAAAATCTGGGATGGGCAACAGGAGGGAAGAAATAATGATTTTGGACATGTTGAGTTTGACATGTCTCCAGGGCAGCCAATTGAAAATAAAAGAAAGTTAATAATTTCGATTGAACCATAAAAGTCATCTGCACAGACACAACAATTAAAACCATGGGAGCTTATAAGAAAGAGCATGTGGAGGGGGCAGTTAGGTGGCACAGTGGATAACTCTGGCCTTGGAGTCAGGAGGACCCGAGTTCAAAATCGGCCTCAGACACTTGACACTTACTAGCTGTGTGACCCTGGGCAAGTCACTTAACCCTGACTGCCTCACCAAAAAGCAAAAAAAAAACCCAAAAAACAAAACTCCTTTGGGGGCAGGTAGGTGGCACGGTGGATAGAGCACTGGCCCTGGAGTCAGGAGGACCTGAGTTCAAATCCGGCCTCAGACATATAACACTTACTAGCTATGTGACCCTGGGCAAGGGTCAAGAAAACACCAAGAAAAACAAAACAAGAAAAGTCCACACCTCTCTGGACTTCATCTTCCTCATATACAAAATGACTTCTTGTTTTGTCATGTCAGACTCTTTGTAATTCCATGAATAATACTGTCCATGGTGTTTTCTTGACAAAGATACTAGAATTATTTGCTATTTCCTTCTCCAGAAGATTAAGGCAAACAGGGTTAAATGATTTACCCAGGGTCATACAGCTATTGAGTATCTGAGGTACTAGATTTGAATTCAGGTCGTTCTGACTCCAGGCCCACTCTATCTATTGACCTGCCTAGCTGCTTGGACTAGGTGACCTTTAAAGTTTCTCCAGCTCTAAATCCTATCACCACCTAGTTTCAGTGCCTCATTTCAGAGAAAAGTGAAACTGAGGGAGACAGAGATTTGACTGAAGTGAAATGACTTGAGGTATATCCCAGGGCTTGTAAAAGGACAGAACTAGAACCCAGGTCTTCTGACTGTCCTGTCCTGTGCTTTTCCCACTACACAACACTGTCAGGTCAATTCATATCCCTGAGCTGTAGTTTCCTGCTCTATAAAATAGAGATGATACTTATATTACCTACTTCACAGGATTATTGGGAAAGAAGCACAGTCCTATTATTGCTGGAGGGAGGAGGTAAACTGAAAAACCTATCAGTATTACTGAAAAATGAAAGGAAGGGGAGAGAAAGTGAAAAGGTCAGGAGAGAAAACTGGGAATGGGGAGAAAATAGTAATTCTGTTCCTTAATGAAAAAGAGAACTTCAAAAAGACTTAAGAGAAATTTCAAGCCGGAGGACCTCAGTTAGAGTCCCAACTCTGCTATTTACTACCAGTGTGATATGTATAACCTATATCAAATTGCCTACCATTTTTGAAAGAGATAAGGGGAGGGAGAAAAATTTGGAATGCAAAATCTTGTAAAAATGAATGCTAAAAATTGTCTTTACATGTAACTGGGGAAAAAAATAAAATACTATTTTTAAAATGTGAAAAAGAAGGGCAGCTAGGTGGCACAATGGATAGAGCACAGGCCCTGGAGTCGGGAGGACCTCAGTTCAAATCCGGCCTCAGACACATAATACTTCCTAGCTGTGTGACTCTGGGCAAGTCACTTAACCCCAACTGCCTCACTGAAAAAAAAAAATGTGAAAAAGAAAGAAAATTACTACCGGTGTGACATTGGGCAAGATCCTTGCAATCTTTCAAACTCTCTCAGTCTCAGTTCCCTCATCAGTAAAATGAAAGGGATTTCTAAAGTCCTTTCCAATGTTAACATTTTTATGATCCTTGTTCCTGGGCAATGGAATAGTTCCTGGCCTTGCCAGTCCCTTCAGATCAGTGAGAAACAGCCCCAAAGCATCCTGATGGCCACTCCCTTAATTTGGAAGAGGCAGGAAAGAGACAGAGGAGGAGGGACGGGGAAGGGATAGCTGGAGAGAAGAGGGAGAGGAAAAGAAGAAGAGGAAGGTGGGAAGAGAGATACTGAGGAGAGAAAGAGGAGGGTGGGGGAGGAAAAGAGGAAGAAAGGGAAAGGAAGTGGAAAGGAGAGGAAAGATACAAGAGGAAAGAGAAGGGAGAGAGAAAAAGAGAGAGGGGGAGAGGAAAGATACAGGAGGGGAGGGAGAAGAAAAGACGAGACGGAAAGAGAGGAGATGAGGGGAGAGAGAAGAGAGGAGGGAGAAAAACAGAAGAGGTGAGAAGAAAGAAGAGCTACAGGAGAGGGAGAGAGGAGAAATACACGAGGAGAGGAAAAGTGGAGGAGGAAGAGAAGAAAAGAAAAAGAGAGAGATGGAGAGGAGCTAAAAGAGAGGGAGAAAGAGGAGAGATACAGGAAGAGAGGAAGAGGGAGTGGAAGGAAAGTAGAGGAAGAAGAGGAGAGGACAGATACAGGAAGAAAGGGAGAGAGAGAAGACATACAGGAGGGGAGGAAAAAGAGATGAGGGAGAAGAGAAGAGTGCCTAGGACACAGGCGCTTAATAAATGTTTACTGAACTGAGGAAGAGGAGAGAGAGGAGAGAGAAGAGATACAGAAGGAGAGGGAGAGTAGAAGGGAAGAGGATGGAGGGGAGGTAGGAGAAAGGGGGAGGAAAGTAGGGGAAGGAGGAGCGGAAGAGGGGAGGGGAAGGGGAGGGAGGGGGGAGAGGGAGAAGAGGGAAGGGCCCAAACTCCTCTAAGGCGCCCCCCCCCCGCCCCCGGCCAGACACTCCCTCCTCCAGCCTCCCAAACCCTGCTACCTTGAGCGCTAGGTGGTGGACGCGGCCCTGGCCGAGGTGACTCAAGAGCTGCAGGAGTCCTAGCAGCAGGAGCAGCCGGCGACCCGGGCCAGAGCCCAAGCGGCACAGGTATACTGAGGCAGCCATGTTTGTTCCAGCATCACAGGCCGCCCCCGCCCCCCTCTTTGGCCTCTCCAGCTCACTTCCGGGGTCAAAGGGCGGGGACACCGGAAGGAGGAAAAGGCCATTCCGCTTATATGGGTGAAGGGGGTAGTCCCGAAGTATTCTTTGGTTCTCTGTGCGATGGTTGTATATGCAGGCTGGGGCAGAAAGGCATTGACTCCAGTCTTTCTAAGCTCCGTAAGCGCCAGTTTGGCTCTTACCAGAGGAGCGCAGAGGGTGAAAAAGGGGCAGCTTGGGCAGCTGTATGTGGGGTTGCAATGGCAACAGCTGCTTTCCTCCTCCCCTCCCCCTCCCCTGCCCAGGCCCCCTCCACCCCCACCCCACCCCCACTCCCACCCCGCCCAAGTTACTGGATCCGAGGATGTCACTGAAGGACGGAGACCTCAGCTTCAGAGTTGTTGAGTATCAAGAAGACTCGGCTGCTGATAGACAGGAACCTCCTTCCCTGTGAACCCGGTGAGGCTTTGCCCGGCTTGCTATGGGCAACCCGCCGGCCAGCGGAGGGTGTGAGGACCGCTAGCCAGGCGACTCTCCAGGCCTTAGTCAGAAGTGCAGATTGGTAGAGCTGGAAGGGGCCTTAGAGGTCATTTAGTTCAACCAGTACCTGAGCAGGAATTCTCTCCCTTTGAAGACCTCCAGAACTCACTGCTTCCGGAGGCATCCTATTCTGGGTTGTGACCGCATGGCAATATTTACAAATTCCACTCAAAGCATGAAGTTTGTTGTGTACTAGAAACCTTTTGATATCCTTGTTCTTGCTTACAGGCAGTCCCATGGAAGAAACTGTTTTGAAGCAATGGCTCCTGCTAGAAGCAACCTCCCTTGTTTTGGAGGCTGCTTCACAACCTTATGAGGCCTTTGGATTCACTTGTGTAGTGTTATTTTGTTTTGGATTGGTGAAATTCGTGCCTTTCCTCACTAAGGCCAAGCAAGCCCTCACTTACCAAGCCCAGCAGATGGGCACTGGGGGCACAAGAAAAAAAATGCACACTAAGGAATTTAATAAATATTAAGTGCTTGCTGTGTTCAAAGCACTGTGTTTGACAATATATATACAAAAATAAAAATGATAGCCTTTGCCTTCAAGGAAATTAGATTCTGTTAGAAGGAATACAGGGAAGATGAATAAAAAGTAGATAAAGCATGTAAGTATTTGCGCTGTGCTAAGTTCTGGAGATAAAACTACAAGCAAGCAAGGCAGTCCCTGAACCCATGGAGTTTATAGTCTTAATAGACAAGAAGCAAGTACATGAACTACTAAATAGGGAGAAAAAGTCCCAGAAGTGACATAGGCCTTTATACCAATCCCAACTCCCTGGCCACTTCAAGATAAGGCAAAATCTGGGGTGCAGTGGGGGGAGCAACAGGGAGAAATGGGCAGAGTGCTGGCAGGGAGTAAGTGGTGGAGATGATGGTTCCAGTAAGAGGTAGCATGTCATGGATCAGTCTGGTAAGTGTGTGATAAAGGCAAAGGAGATTCTGACAAAGTACTCTTAAGAAAATATGAGGCAAGAGAGAAGACATTCGACTACAGAAATTAGGGAAAGCTTCATGGAGGAAGTGGCAGTGGAGCTGAGCCTTGAAAGGAGAAGATTTTGCTAGACTGAAGTGAGGAAGTGAATTTCAGTCATGGAGGATGACCAGAGTTGTCAGGTACCTAGGAGAGCAAAGTGAAATAAAGCTGAACAGTTGTCAAAGAATGCAAGCTGGGAGGGACCTCAATTCATCTAGTCCAATCCTTACCTGATCCATGTAAAAGCCAGATTTGAGACAGCTTTAAAAACTGGGTCGGGGAATTTGTATTTTATCTTGTAGGCAATAGGGAGGCACTGATGGTTTTTGAAGAGGAAGAAACAGTACTTTACCATTCATGTTCAGTTTGGATTGTACAATTTCTCTTCTATGAAAGTAGCAAGTATCTGTTTTTGTCTCACTTTATATTAATAGAGAATTAAAGTTTTCTCTGTCGTTGTGTCTATAGAGGAATCTTTTATGATTTTACCCTCTATGTGGAAGACATCTTGTTGGAAAGTCCTTTTAGATTAAATTTTGCTCTACCAAATAAAATACTTTTCTAAAAAAATCAACAGACAGTAAGTTCAGTGGGATCTTGTATTTTCTTCATCTTTCAGTTAGCTGTGTAACTAAAAAGATATGGTCTGCTCTGGAATATAATTTACAAAAGCCTTCCTGTCCTGTTCCCATATTTCATCAAGGATGGTTTTTAATAGCTATATAATTTATTTTCACAAAGATTTTATGGAAATAGGAAAGTAGACATGGGTTTGTAGTGGCTGATTATCTTCTCAGTTACTTTTTTGGTAGTAATAATTTCTATTATTTAAAAAAATTATTCAGTAGTTGCCCCACTTTCAGATACCTTGAGAATTATTTGGTGAGTGCCCTCAGAATTGTTACCTCAAGCATATACCTCTTCTGTAGGTGTACTTCTTTTGATCTAGCTGGGCTTTCTATCTTTGTTTTCTCTGTTGCCATTTCTATTTATTCTGCAAAAGGGACTATTACATTAAAGTGCAAATGATGAATGAATGAATAAAAAAGCATTTATTAAGAGCGCAAAGTAATGTGTGCTAAGTGCTGGGACTACAAAAAGAAAAACAAAACAATGTCTTATCTCCAGGAGATCATATTCCCCTGGGGGAAAACAACACACATGGGAGATTATGGCTGCAAATCACATGCAGAGGCCTCATGGTCCTTAGAGGGCAGAGGCAAAGCAGATGCCAGTGTATTTTCTTTGATGTCATTTCCATTGATAAAAGCTATCTCTGATGTTGAATCATTTGACAGTGCCAAGACCTTTGGTTGTGAAAACTTTGCTTTCTGGGTCTTCAATAGCTATTATCTCCTAGGGGTTACAGTATCTACAGAGGTAGTTTTTACAAAGGTTACTTCCCTAGGCAATGGCTGGTAGCCTGGTTTGTGGTCTTGAGGGCATTACTAATCCAGATGTTCTTGGGCTTACCTGCCCATTGATGGCAGTTGGCCCTGGGGTAGTGGTGGTGGGGATGCTGGATCCCTTCTCCATAAATGTTCCCCATAATGATGGCTAGAGAGGCTAGACTGAAAGCGAAAATAAATAAACAAAGTGGTCTTGAGGGCACTGCAGTTTTCAGTTTCTTGGACTCTTGTTCTTTTCTTTACCATTGTATTTGGCAAAGAAGTGGCAGTAGTTTGACCAGGTGCATGCTACCTGCTGTCTCCCCCTTTGACACTTTGCCCTTCAGCTAGACTTACTTGCCTGCCCCATTGGCAATTGGTGGTGGTGGGGATTGTAGGTCCCTTCTTCACAGGGTTTGCTCCTCTGAGTATTAGCTATTAGGGGACCCAGCTGGAAGTAAAGCTCGAGTCATCTGTGGAATATTGCAGGAAAAAATTGTTTGTTGCAGAAATCAGAAATCTTTACTGATCTTTTCCATTTTTTGTCTGTTCCTCTTTTCAGCTTCATCCGTTATTTCCAGAAGAAAACTTTATAAGGGCTTAAAATTTGTGTTCCTTCCTTTTTCTACTTTTAAGTTGAATGACCTTGCAAAATGATTTTATCTTGAAGTGTTTATTGTGCTTCTGTTTGGCATTTTCAGTAGGGATTATTATTTGTAATTATCATCATCAAAGACACGTATGCCTGGAAAAGGTGAGCCAATTCGTACATATCATGAGAGGTAGAGATAACAGACAGACAATCTTAGTACTGCACTGGTAGAATTCAGAAAATATTAAGTTTAATATTGAAAATTAAATGTTTTATATTTAATTTATAGATTTCAGTTGGTAAATATTAATATTTTATTTAATGCAAGTTTAGTATTTATTGTCTGGTATTTTAAATTTTAATATTTTCATTACCCCACCCCATTGCCAAAAGTGTTATATATGAAACTTTTTAAAATATTAAAAAGGAGGGTCTGCAGGAAAGATCTCAAGGCAGGATTTCTTGTACATAGTTTGTAATCTGCACCAGGGAAAGAGTATCCAATGAGAGTTTTCTAAAGAGCAACCCCATCAAATAATCAAAGCTTTATCTTTGCAAATAATTATTATGGAACTAAAATGATATTTAGATTTGAGAGTGAAGCTGAGGGAATGAACACCTGAATACTTAATGTTAAAATTGTATTTTAGTATACTTCTCTACCTAGTCTCATTTCATGGCAGATATTCATATTTTTACTGAAATAACAAAGTGGAAACTTTAAAATGCAGCTATTTGTCAAACTGAAAATTGTTGTTTCCTAAATTTGCCTTGAGGTACTATACCTTGATAGTTTCAGAAAAAATAATTTGCATAATCCCAATGTTTTGACTAAAAAAACACACATAAACTGAGTAACAGAACAAGTTAACAACAGCTTGTTTCTAGCAATGTTTTTGAAGGGGACATTAATGTTTAGGTGAAGTATAATTGCTAAAAGCCTGGAGTAATTAGAAAGAAATTTCTTAATACAGTTCATTGCCTGCCCAGCTCATCAAGTACCTTGTATTTTAAAGTTTATCTTTCTTCCCTTCTATGTTAAGTAAAAGTTACTACCAGTGGTAAGATGTACAGCTAGTAGTTTATTATCTAATAATAATAATAGTATCTGGTACCTCTACATCAATTTTTGAAGGACTTTTATGTTACTTGTAGGTTAGTATTCTTACAGCTATATTAAGGCATTATTAAGCACGGTGCAGGTAAAAACACTTGTGTTAACAGGCAAATTGTCATTGTAAAGAAAGCACTTTACATTCAATTCAGTTCAATTCAACGAACATTTATTAACTGCTTACTCTGTATAAGACCCTGTGCTTGGAGCACTCGGAATATAAATATAGAATTGACACAGGCTTTCCAGGATACCAACTAGAGGTCAGCTTAAGACCTAGCCTTATGATTTGGGATTCCTTTTTTCCCTTTCTCTCCAGAAAGCAGCTTCATAAACATTATACCCCTTCTCCAAATGTAGCTTTTGCTCCAGTTTTTA